GGCTTCGGGGCTTTAGGGTTTTGGGCTAAGGCCGGGGCCACAGCGTACGGCTGTCCCCGGCCAGGCGTCTCCAGAAGCCTTAAACCCTGAACTCTCAGCCTTAAATCCCTAAACACCCGCAAGCCCTGAAAGTCCTAAACCGTCAGAACACTGAGACAAAACCCTGAAAGGCCTAATACTTTAAAAGCCCTAACAGCCCTATCAGCCCTACAAAACCCTAGAAAACAAAAATAAACCTGCGGCCTTTACCGCTTGAAGGTTTCGCAGCTCGGTTTGCACTGACTCCTGCAGGATCAGCAGGCTTAAGGTTCAGAGTATCGGGGTTCAGAGCTCGGGGTTTAGGCTTCAGGGTTTAGTGTTTAAGATTTGAGTTTCAGGGTCGGGTTCAGGGTTTGGGGGTGTAGGGTTGATGAGTTTAGGGTTCAGGTGTTAAGTTTCGGGTTACAGGGTTGAGGGGTTTGGGATTGATCCGGGCAGAGAAACAACACAAGCATGTTCTAGGCACCCCTTCATTGCGCGGTACAGCTTAACTCATATTCATGGAAGATGCCGTGGTAAAGAGCCAATATTGGGCTCTTGGGGCACATGCAACAAAAGGGATTCAGGGCTTTAAGGTTTCAAGGTTCAGGGCTAAGAGTTTAGGCTTGTGCTTCAGGTTTCGGCTTTCCGGATTTAGGGAAGGCGCCTGGCAATAATCGCTGCCCCTGGGGCTGTGGCATGGGTCGGAATCCTGAGCTTCATGGGCTTGGGATGTTGCACCCTGCATGGGGTTTGGGGCTGAAGGCTTGGGGCTTATATAGTATGTTATAATATCAGGTTCAGGAATTCGGGCTTAGGGCTTGTTTCGTATAGAGATGTATCGAAGTTGGAGAGCGTAGAATGTTGAAGTTGTGGCCACTGCTTACCGCGCGACAATAACGTAGCCATCAGCATCCCGATCCAGAGAGAGCCTTCCCGACTCCTGGGCTCAAGGCTGGGTCGTTTCGGATTTCGATCCACCTTCATTTAGGGGCCTCAATGATTAGACTAATTCGGGTTTTGGAGGCTGTTAGACTATGATCATAAGGGGACGACAAGGGGATACGATTGCCAGTTACATTAAACCCAGACCTGAACCAAACCCACATCTGAACTGAACAAGCCGGTGCTTTGTTGAGGTAGGCACCTCGTGCCAATCAGATGTCCATCTCCCTGAACCCTATACCTTCGTCAGACGGACATGTAACGCGTGCATTGCCGTGTACATCGTCGAGGTCATTAGAGGTCATTAGACTCGCAGTTACGGATGTCATAGGACGACAAGCCGAAACCCGTGCACACACCACACATGTGACCTGACACCTTGGACAGACAGCGTCTCGTCCTCGCAATCCCGAAATTTGGTCACAGTCCGGACAGCGGTGGAAAGCGACCAAGCGTGTCAGTGAGGTCCCTCTGCACAGCTTTCCGAAAGCAGATGGGTGCAGGGAAGCGTGTGACAGAATCAATGCATCGACTTCGAAGTGGATTTCTACAGTTTCCGGAACCTTTGATAGATAGGCCAGGTAGAATGATAGATGCATATACAGACAGACAGAAGACAGATGGACAGACAGGCAGACAGACAGACAGGGAGGCAGGCGGGCAAACAGACTGACGGACAGATAGACAAATAGACAGACGGACAAACAGACAGACACACACAGACGGAAAAATACATGGACAGAGATATACATAGATAAAGAGATGCATGCATGCACAGATGCACAGATGCATGAATGTGTAGATAGATAGATAGATAGATAGATAGATAGATAGATAGATGGATAGATAGACAGATAGAGAGATAGATAGATAGATACATAGGTACATAGATAGATAGATAGATAGATAGATAGATGGATAGATACATAGATAGAAAGATAGATAGATAGATAGATAGATAGATAGATAATTAGATAGATAGATAGATAGATAGATAGATGGATAGATAGACAGATAGAGAGATAGATAGATACATAGGTACATAGATAGATAGATAGATAGATAGATAGATAGATAGATACATAGATAGATTGATAGATGGATGGATGGATAGATGGGTAGATAGATAGATACATAGATAGATAGATAGATGGATAGATAGATAGATAGATGGATAGGTAGATAGATACATAGATAGATGGATAGATAGGTGGGTAGATAGATAGATAGATAGATAGGTAGGTAGGTAGGTAGGTAGGTAGGTAAGTAGATAGATAGCCACGTAGGTACGTAGATAGCTAGACAGCTAAACATCCAAATATCTAAATAACGAACTAGATAGCTGCATGACTCAACAAATGGCTTGATAGCTAGACAACCAGACAAATGGCAACATAGCGAGCAAACCAGACACAGTGTCAGACAGACAGCTGGCTAGCTGGTTAGGTTGATAGACAGACGGACAGACAGACGGACAGACATGTGCATGTGCAAGATGGCGACGCATGCACACCGACACACACACACACACGAAAACCTACATACATACATACATACATACATACATACATACATACATACACACATACATACGTACGTACGTACATACATACATACATACATACATACACACATAAAAACATACGTACATACATACATACATACATACATACAGACATACATACATACACGCATACATACAGACACACATACATACGTACATACATGCATGCATGCATATTTACGTACTTACATACATACATACATACATACATACATACCTACATACATACATACATACATACATACATACGCACATACATGCATAAGTAGGTATAGGTATGTGTGCTGCATATATAGGAATCACACAGAAGAAAGGAATAACCCGGCATGACGTCAAGACTGGACTGAGCCGGGGCACTTCCCGGAGAGCCAGGGTCAGGCCAACGAAGAGAGCAAAGCGCAGCATTTTGTTAGTCAGACAACGGCTGCTTTCTTTGGGCCATACGAATAAACACAGTTTAGGGCTCCGGGGTTTAGGGCTGCGGGTTCAGGGTTTAGCGCGTCTGAACATGAAGCTGATGAACCCGTGATGCTAAGCCTACCACTTTTGGCAGGAGGAAAGTCCAATTCAAGGACCTGTCTACAACCCAAAACCCTAAACCCTCAGCCCCGCAGTTTGCGTTCCGACAACTGAGCAGCATGTGAAGAGGGGCATCGTAAAGCTATCTTGGAGTTTCAAAAATCCTCGAAGGCCTTGTTTAAGGACAGAACAGAAGGATCCTGACTATCAGGACCGCTTGAACGGGATCGTGAGAGAATTTCAGAACAGCTTCGTGCTCTTTGGGGGTCCGGCGTTCTCGGAAGGGGCAGCGGCGCTTCCTATCATCTGCTCGGAGAAGGAATTCCGAGTTAAGGCTGGGAGCAATAAACCACCGACTCCTGATAAGGGTTAGAATGGCGATATTGCGGCGGCCTGAGAGAAAGAGAGAGAGAGGGCTGCCAAGCTAATATATGGCAGAACGCATAGGGGACAGCTCATGTCAGAGGTCTCTGCATGATCCGGACCTAAAGATTTTACGAAGAGGAGTGGCGCGTGTTGTGGAAGCCCGGCAGAGCATCGGTGGCCTGGGATCCGTTACAACATCCTACCGCCCACCCACAGCCTTCCCTCTGATTCACGGAAAAAGAGCGACCGAAGCCGTTGATGACTCATGAGATCCGATATGTCGAACTTACTGCAATTGCCCGGCTCATGACAACGAGCAGTCAGTACTTCAACGCTTGCATGCTTGCCCAACACACTCTATCCTGCTATGCATTGTAGCAAGGCAAATGCATTGCACGAAGACTCTCTCGACAACACCTCGTGTGCCGTGGTAGTAAACATGAGTATTATCGGGGCCTTAAGTAGAGATAGACTGAGGTTCTGGGAGATACGTACCTCTAAATCTCATCGGGAGCACTTCTGAATACCAATACAGGCGATTACGAATTGAAACGTGGAGCTTCTTTCCAGGGCATGGCTTTTAGAAGACGAGACCTTGAACAACTATTCAATGATCACCTTCGAGCTCGCGCGGAGCCCCAGTTTCACTGCTTGAAGCCAGCAGCTCCCTTCAAAGGCCTCGTTCAGCCGCAGACCTTTTCGAGCTGTGCTAATGTCGCACTTCCTGTTGCTTCCTGTGCCCGTTGTATCTGCAAACCCAGTTCTGAAGTCGCGCGCAAAATCCGCAGCACTGTTTGAAGCAAAAGACTGGAGGCATGGGGTGGCCTGACATTGGGCAGCGCATCTGAAGAAGACCAGAAGCTGAAAGCCTGGGCCTAGACCTGCGTGGCCCCTAAACCCTAGAGGCCTAAACCCCAAAACCCTTGACCCTAACACCATAAACCCGAAACTCTCAGCCTTATATAGCTTATCAAAACCTGACAGCCACGACCACGACTCCTCATGGCATTGATGGCCAAACCGGCACCGCCTTCGCCAGCTGCAAGGCGGAGGGGATTTGCTTCTGGGGCTTGGTATTATTTTGAGCTCAGGGTTTAGGCTTCTGGGGATTTAGGCCTCTGGGACTTGGTATGTCGGACTTATGCTTTAGGCTTCTGGGGTTCATGGGCCTCAGGGGTTTGCGGTTCTGGGGGCTGAAACTTTTCGGCTGAATGTTTGGGGTTCAGGGTTTCGTACAGCGGGCCCCTTTCCCAAGTTCCATCTTAGTTTTGGGGAGCGTATAGCACCAGGCATTTCCCTTACTCCTACACCCTACACCCCAAGTAAGTATCTTGATTACAGGGCTCGTGGCAAATCGGAGGGCTTCGGGCTGTTGGGAATGGGATGAATGTTTTGGGATGTAGAGTTTGGAGCGTTTTGTGTTTTGGGTTTAGGGTTTGGGGTTTATGTTTTGGGCTTACGGCTTAATGCTTTGGGGCGTAGGGTTTGCGTTTTCGGCGGGTTGAAGGGTATATCATGGCTTCGGTTATTGGGGATACCTGCATTAGGCTTCGGATTTCCCCTTTCAAACGTGGCAAAAATGAGGTGGTGATTGATCTCCCACCCGTTTTAGGATTCTCAACACTTTGAGGTTGAATCCGTGAGAACTGAAGCCTCCACCTTCAACCCCTACACTTCTAACTTCTTTCAGACTTTAGGGCTGTTAAGGCACTAAACTCTTTACGGTTTATTTGGGATTCAATCGGAAAATTCTCCCGTCGTATGGTGGGAGTGCGTCGTGGCTTCCTGAGCCGGCAAAGGATTCAGGGGTGGGAATTCTAGGTTCAAGTATACTCTGGCTATACCTACTACTGCTCGCAATAGACCATGATTACCGTTGCTATTTCTACTACACTTATTGTAACGAGCCTTCATTCTGCTGGTAGTATGACAACGTTATCATCGCAATTATTGTTGCTGTCACTGATCATTGTAGTGGTCGAGGTGCCAAAGATTAGGGTGCAGAGTTTTGTGTTGTGGAATCTGAAGCATGAGGGACCGCAACATAGACCCTTCGTATAAGCACCACCGAATGGGGTAGCCGTACGAACTGTAAGAGACCTCCAAGCCTGAAACCCCTTCCCCGAACCCTTTAGACCCTCATGACAAGCCATATAGAACCCCCACTCGACACCTATGGAAACCCTGAACCCTAAGCCCTGAAGCCCGAGCCCTAAACCCTAAACCTTAAGACCCAACCCGAAACCTTTGCGAAAACAAGCTCGGTTTTCGTACTTGACAGAGCACCTCCAACACCGATGCCAATGGCTGAAATGGTGCGCAAGGACAGGCCTGACGTGAGATGGGGTTTAGCGTTTGGGGTTTAGGGTTTATAGGGTTTACGGGGCTCTAGGGTTTATTGTTTAGGCTTTAAGGTTTAGGTTTAGGGTTTCGACGCTACTATTCTGGCTACACATTATATGTCACTTGTCGCTCGTTATTCTATCTGAAGCTCCCACATCGTGGAAAAGAAGGCGGAAATGCATGCAGGATTCAGGATAAACCACCTGGTTTGCTACTTTATCTTGTCTAGCTTTGAACGCCAACGACGATCGTCCAACATCAACACCTGCCAGCATCACGATGATGAATGATCGTCACTACCATCTACGACAGTGGAGCAGAGAATTGGAGCTCGGATCAATGCCTGTTTGCACCATGATGACGCCACTATACTCAGCGGTGGCGGTGGTGGTGGTGGTGGTGGTGGCGGCCGCCATCGTAGTCGAGAAACGTTGCTTGCTCTGCGGACGCCATACTAATACTACTAGCAGTGTGACTTTTTCTGCATAAACATCAAGGACAACTGTTGAAAAGAGGCACGAACTGCAAAACATCGTCCAAACCATGCACCTCCGAACCCCTGAAAATACTGGCAAACGTGTCACTTTTGTTACTACTGTACTGTGCACATGCTTTCAAAGCAAGAGAGAAGACGCATTCGTAAAACGCGTCTACCACAAAGACTGCTCGTATTCGTGGGAGAGCTGCACGATTTGGTGTGCAAATCCGCGGGGCCACCAGTGGCTGCGTGACCGAGTAGTAGTAGTAGTAGTAGT